AAACCCTTCCCAGATGCTATTTGGCGATAAAGTCAAACACTGCTGGATGGGTAACCTACAATACCTTGTTGTACCCTGTACAATCCATTCCATGTGCCCTTATAACATGCATATTACATTTTCACATACCCCTATCCTCTTCTTGATGGCCCCATTGTCTCTGTTGTTGTCGTTGGAGGTGAGGTAAACAAAGTTATTGGTGAGGTTGTCTATCTCAGACAACAGGTAGAAGGAATATTGATTGACTGATGCCACTCATTTGTTTTCACCTCCATTCTCTGATGTCTCTGATCTGTCATCAATAGAGGAGCTGAGCTGCAGAGGCCCAGGGATCATGGTGGCCATGCCTGGATGAATGGGATTATCTCCTATAGGTTTGTATGGACCCCTCACCCTGCTGACGTGCACGGACACGCATGCACGCACACACACACACACACACACACACACACACACACACACACACACACACACACACACACACACACACACACACACACACACACACACACACACACACACACACACACACACACACACACACACACGCACACACACACACGCACACGCACACGCACACGCACACGCACACACACGCACACACACACACACACACACACACACGCACACTAACAGTGGTCTCACACACACAAACACACACACACCTTGCTGACAGGGGTCGGTAATGATGCCGCAGGCTGAAGCGTGATGACGGTACTGACACGATGAGGCCCTGGTCTAACCCAGGAACACCATCATGGTCTCATTATTTGTCATCTCTCGACCCTTGGAGCGCTGGGAATTAACCGTGCCATGACAGATGACTGTCACCACCAACCAGAGAGGTCGCAGTCGGACATTAATGCAGTGTGGGGCTGAGCGGTAAAAGCTGGGCGACCTGTACAGTGGTGGGGATATCAGTGGGGTCCACAGCAGTAAAAGCAAGCTAGGCGATATACGTGGTGAGGCCCTCAGCAATCTGTACGGTGGGGATCACTCAGCAGTCATGACCTCAGTTGTGGTCTTTTCTAGGTCAAGGGAAAGTGTCATGTTATAGTGAAGGAGAGATTGGGGGACGGGGGGAGGGGCTCATCTAAGATGCATTTAACTACATTCCCACAGAGAGGATAATAGAGCGATACATAGCCTACAGTGCTAGCTTGGCATACTCAGACTTCCCAAGAATATGTCTACATACTTGTGCGCCACAAGAATATGTATGTATGATGCTTTACATATCCTAGAAGCCCATAGAGGCACTCAGCAGGCAGTCTTCCAAACACCATGACAACAAAGCATCCGTCATCACCATTCCTCACAAGCTGCTGTGCACACTTCTCTGTTTCCTTCCAGAGCTCTTACTGGCGGATATGAGCAGGAAGTGTGTGTGTGTGTCGTGTGTGTGTGTGTGTTCATCATAGCAGCACATTGCCATATGCCTCTGTCTTCAGTCTCAGACTGCAATGAATGCAGGGTAATAGAAGGAGAATGAGAAGACATACACATGGCATTTAGACGTTTTTAGCGCATAAGGTATATGCTCATCCTATGTTTCCAGAGCTTAAAACGTTTATTGTGGGCATGAATAGGGGAAATCATTTTTGTGACACAAAGGGCTGTGTGTTTAATTTCAGGTTTTACCGTATAATGCATTGAAGCTGTATAATAAAGCCATTGGGTCTTTCCATCGTATCTCCTGCCCTTTCTGAACGATCAATGACGATCAACATGTTGACATTTGCCATGATGATTGGTGTGATTACAATTTTTAATTTATTGGTCAGATTTGCTCTAGTGGCAGATATACTGTAAATGGCAGTTAGAATACGTTTTTAACCAAAGCTATTTTTACAGTATGTGATTCCTCTAGGACATCAACATTGCTGTAGTGCCAACTGAGCCACACAGGACCACAGCAGAAGTACAGTAAGTGACTCTCTCTCTCTCAGTTTGCTCTGTCCTTCCCTCGACAGCCACGCTTTTATCAGTGGTTTTACCTTTTTATTGTCACTGATCATCCTTAACTGGGATGCATTTAAAACGTCATTGATCTTTATAATGGCATGCTTTAATATGACGGTAACAGTTGTCTAGCTAACCAGGAAGTCAAATTCCTGAGATGGATGAGCAGTAGCAGGTGAGTTATCATCCATCTACCTGAGTGATGCTCTCCCTCGCTCCGTTCCACACCACAGAGCGGACATATAAATACGACATATAAATACAACCCATAAAGCTGACACAGGAAATTGATACTTAACTAAAAAGCAGCTGGAAAGAGTCATGAATGGTGGGAGGTACTGCTGAGGATGGAGGGATGAATGGAGAGATGGTAGGGGGAGGGGGAGAGAGAAAGAGAGAGTGTAAAGGCTGATGGTAAGGTTAACGGTTGTAAAATGTACTTGATTGGCTAAAGGCCACCTGTGAAGTTCAGTGTCTTGTTTATCAATGGAGGAATACAGTATAATGCATTTATAATACCTACTTGTTGGCCTAAAATTAACCTAATGAAAATATAACAACACAATTACAAGAAAGGGTCACCAAGAATGATCTCACATTAAAGTTTTATGGGCAGTCTGTCTTTGTTTATGTGACCACCAATTGTAAAAAAACATAATCTATGATCTGGTTTGGATTGCTAGTCTGCTGGGATCTGACCTCAAGTTCCGGAATGTATAATGCAATGCATTCTCAACCCTGGATTCTATTTCATATTCTGCAATGACACTGAGAGTGTTTGTAGTGGCATGGTTTAGTGTGGTGTGTCTGGTTTTTAATGTCTAAAAGCTGACTGTTTAGGATAGGGCTGAGCAAAACAAGCAGAGCTCCTCAGATGCCGGGCCAGGCCTCATTTAATGCTCTCTATTACGACCATAAATCACGTCTGCTCACACAGCACACACAAGAATGCAAAGAATCCAACACTGCTGCCTGCAATTTAGGCTCTCTCTCTCACTCAGTCTCTCACCAGTTTGTTTCTCTCTCCTCTCTCCTCTCTCCTCTCGCCTCTCTAATCTATTCTCTGTCTGTTGTCCCTCTCTCTCTCTCTCTCTCTCTCTCTCTCTCTCTCTCTCTCCTCTCTCTCTCTCTCTCTCTCTCTCTCTCTCTCTCTCTCTCTCTCTCTCTCTCTCGCTCTCTCTCTCTCTCTCTCTCTCTCTCTCATACACACACATTCAAGTCTTTGTAGAGTATCTTTCTCCATGGAAGTTTTTATCAACTTTTACTAATTACCGTTTAACATATTGAATATTTAATTAAATAGTTTGCATCTTCTGTTTTTTGTCCTGATTCAATCGTTTTCATCATACTGTACCTTTGATCTTAGACAGACTGCATTGTCGAGGCCATAGGCCACTAGGTCATAAAAATCTGATGATAACACTGCTGGCATTTACTGTATACACTCTGTCTCTCTGTCTCTCTGTCTCTCTGTCTCTCTCTCTCTGTCTCTCTGTCTGTAATAACAAGTAGAAACCGTGGCTTATAGTCCTACTAGACTCTGTAGGCTAGGGTGCTGAGCCATGCAACCAACACATCCTCTGAGAATGAAGGGGCTCTAACCCTGCTAGTCCCAGCTTTCACTGCTTCAAATAGGCAATTGAAAAGGAGAGAGTTTAGACTGAAAGGGAGGCAGCATCAGCTCTTGTCAAGATGTCCAGTGGGTTGAGTTGAGAGCCTGTGGTTGGACGGCTGGAAAAACTGCCTTGTCCCCATGATTAATGTAGGGTAAATAGGAGGCAGGAGCCAGGGAAAGTGGTGCCCAGAGATTGTGCAACATGAAAACATAATATCACAGAGTTTTTATTTAATCTATTCCACAGTATGGGCTAATTTCATTACAAAACCTGTTTTCCAGAAGTAGAATGCGCTCTTTAATCTCAATAAAATGCTGTTGGAGAATGAAGTCATTCTGATAAGAAATGAATAAAGATAATGATTCCACAGAGATTGATTTTCCACAAATGCATTTATTAAACATCTCATTAATCAAGAACAGTATCAAATACATCTTTTTTTTAAAGCTAGAATCCTTAGTTTCTACATCCAGTTTTGGACTTATAAATGAATGATATATACCCATTGATTCTTGAAGAATATAACTCATAAATGCCTCATGAGCTTAGTTCAACTGTCATACCCCATCAGAACACAAAATATAAGCTTGTTTTACTCCAATGTTTGGAAACAACGTAAATGTAAACAAACACTGTATAGCCTCAAAACATGGTTAAAACTATACATTTGAAATCATGGATGGTCAGTCCTTGCATCCATAGTGCTGTCTTTGAATTTGAGAGTGGTTACATTTCTCCAGCCCCATCCCTTAGCTTTTTCGCAAAACTGGGGCGGGGTTTCACTTTGTTTTCATTTTAATTAAGGATTCTAGCTTGACAGAAATACATACATAACAAAAATAGAACTTCATTCAATATGAACATATGCTTCTGTGTTTTCACACTTACACAACATACACAAACGAACCACTATTTAATGATAAGAACACAAAACATGGCCTAACACCTACAGCCAAAGTAAAATTATTTTCTCTCTGATTTACATAGATAACAACCACAAGCCAATTATATGACACATGAAAATACAAAATTGATTGATAATGTGTTCAAAACATGCATTCAACATGCAAAACAGTAGCAGAATGTCTTTGATGATTTTATTGCTAATGTAAATCATGTCAATTATATCAAAAGATAAATTGTACACATGCAATCTATGTAATGTATCAAACCTCAAGGTGTATAACATATTGCCACAAGGTGTACTAGCAACACAAGGGACAGTAGTGGTTGCTTTTGGACTAGAAACCTGTAAGGATACTGGATACCCTATGGGTAATAATTCTGCCTACTTCAGTGAGCCACTATCAGAAAGTTGAATGAAAGCTAGCCTCCACAATGCTGGTTTGATTGAATTGACCACCTAGACACACACATATTACTGAAGGTCTAGGTGTTCAGGCTTGTGGCAGAAGCCTACTCTCACAGGTGAGTAAGTGTATGAGGTTCTAGGTCTAAGAGGCATCCCCTACATCTGAAATATGCACTGATGTCATTATCAACATTAGAGGATAGGTGCCCTGGGGTGAGTTTGGAGAGACCTGTGCACAAACAACTGCTGTCTACAACCGTAAGGGCTGACTGCAGACTATCAGAGACAGGTGCAGTTACAGTGGTGAGATGGGGAAGGTCCATGGGAGTGACACATAAACATTCACTGGTGTTGGCCTTGCTGTGAGAACCCAAAGCAGGGGTACGATCATAATTCATGAAGAGAAGGTTTGGAGATCTAGTCCCTCTCACCAGACAAGCACTTCTGAATCCTGAGTACCCAACTCCAACAGAGGACCTTAGGCTGGTAGAGCAGGATGGTGATGGTGTCTCAGTCTCTGTCCCTCTGTCCTCCTTATGATCCTTCTTGTATTTCATGCGCCGGTTCTGGAACCAGATCTTGATCTGCCGGTCGGTGAGCCTCAGGCCTGCAGCCATCTCCAGCCTGCGGGGTCGACATAGGTAGGGGCTGAAGTGGAATTCCTTTTCTAGCTCCACTAGCTGAGTACTGGTGAATGCCGTCCTCTCTCGTCTCCCTCTGTCTCTACCTCTATCTCTGTCTCCGTCTCGCCCTACATCTCTTCCTTTACTTGGGAGACCACCAGCCTCGTTACGACTGCACACTGAATCACCTGGGGAAATGACAAAAGGAACATGTAAAAGAGCAGTCAATTAAAAGTCAGTGAGCGAGCGTGCACCCAGGCGAGCTTCTGCCTAGTTTGCATAAAAAGGGAAAAAGCTTAACTGAGGGACATAGGAATCCTAATAGTCATCTTGTAAAGTGTCCTGGGATAAGGTGTCTTTTCTGGAGTCAATTAACCTTTTACTGCAGTGGGCTAAATCAGGGTCACAGAGAGTGATTCTTGGTAGTCTTAAACAAATCTACTTTGAAACAAAAGTATACACCTCACACACATGGTTATGGGCTTAAAAAAAGAAGACACCTGTACCATGTCAGATATAGAGTTGAAATGTATTCAAATTTGAGTTTGCATCCCAATATTACACTTTATATACATCACAGAAGACTGAAATATAACAAAACTGTTTGACATAGAAACCCCGGATTTTCGTCATAAAGAGGAAATCATCTTTATTAATTATGAAATTATAAAAAATATTAATAACATTCCACTCATGAAGACGAAGAGGGCACTTTTGGTCATTGACTGCAGGAAAGGGCTACATGTGTTTATTTCAAAGCTTTCTTCTCTCCTTAATTGCATCAATTGCTTTGGGTTTATGACTAACCCAAGAGAGACCTGTCCCACTACCAACAGCCCTAAGAAAGCAACACATCTAAACCTTGCTGAGGGCATGGCCTAAAGTGTCTGAGACATAACAAGGGACAGTTACAGCTAGTGTCAGATGATGGTGTTTTGGGAAAGTTCCCACCTTCTAAAGACACGGTCTAAGGGAATCATCTGACATATGCATTAATCAAATCTACACACGGCAGTAGCGTACCTGTCAACTCAATCACTTAAAGAGTGCCTTGGGACCACACCTGGAAACAACCACCTTCAGAGTGTCAGATGTGCCACAACAGTCCTGTCAGTAGCAACTGTATTCAGGGTTTAATATCTGACCTACTTAGGAGGAAATGATCTTGTGTGATAGAATTGATAACTAACATAAGGAGTTGTTCAAACGTATTATTAAAATGTCTTCAAATGTAACCAAACATGTGTATGTGTATATACACTCTTATAAAAGGAGGGTAGGAGAACCCTTTTTGGTTCCAGGTAGAACCCTTTTTGGTTACAGGTAGAACTATTTTGGGTTCCATGTAGAACCCTCTGAGAAAAAGAGTTCTACGTGGAACTCAACAGAGTTCTACCTGGAACCAAAAAGGGTTCTTCAAAGGGTTATTCTGTGGTGACAGCCGATGAACCCTTTTAGGTTCTAGATAGCACCTTTTTTTCAAAGAGTGTAGCTATAGCATAATTCTGGTCAATAAAAATAGAATTATAGGCAACATCTAAACACTAAATTATGTAAATAAAGGTTCAAGCAGTAATTATTGCCTAATACTTATTATTCCTATGTTAACATGTGAGCAAGTCATAACTCACAAATGCCCTTTTGGCACCAAAATTATAAGGTGTGCAATGTTCTGATAAAATATGTTTGAAGACTAGGTAAATGCAATATAGGCTACAGTAATATGGACAGTCATATGCACATTCATCATTATGACACTGTACTATATACAAAATATTATATTATATTTACCTAATTCGTTGGAGTCAGATGCACTCTGGTTTGGGGCATGCCGAGTTTCTCTCATCCAGGGGAAGAGATGCCTTGGTGAGAGGAAGTAGGTGGATGCACTGCACCTCTTGCCTCTGGCGACTGCTTTGCCCTTGGCATGGCGGGTATCCACCGGGTCCGGGGTGCCCCATAACGGGTCAGTCGGGTATGGCGTACAGCTGATACAAGCAGAAGAGGTGACTGAACGCTGGAAGAGTGGAATCTCTCGGAATTGTGGCGCGTGGCCTCCTTCAACGTGTCCGGTGTCGTATCCAGCAGGTTCGGTTGCAGTGTTGTCCTGTAGATGACATGGGAGAAGGGACTGGTGCTGGTCCATAGACCTAGCAGGGTGCACTTCATCAAATTCACTCTGATAAATAGAACTATGGGTATGCCCTGAAAGTTGGGAAGGTATGCACTTTTGCATGTTAAATATATATCTTTACAACGAAGGTAAATGTAAAAGCTTTATGCAGAAGACTTTGAATAAGCTTTAAGACTGTATTGAATAATATTACCAGAGTGGTAAACCGTGAAGTCACGTGGGGCCGTCCTCCAATAGTCGCGCGCTGGAGTTGCAAACAGTCGGAAAGGAACTTAATGGAGCCGGAGGAACCCGTTCCGATTCTTCAGGCAGCATTGCAATAAGCATGCGTTTCTTCACCTATGGATGAAAACAACTAATTAGAATATGAAAGTAAGAGAGGACTAGCAGTGCATGTATGCAGTTTTAGAAAGCGAGAGATGGGAAGATGGAGAGAGCGAGAGAGAGAGAGAGAGAGAGAGAGAGAGAGAGAGAGAGAGAGAGAGAGAGAGAGAGAGAGAGAGAGAGAGAGAGAGAGAGAGAGGGGGGGGGGGGGGTGTGGGGGGGGGGGGGGGGGGTGGAAGAGCCACCCACTGAACGCATCATTTGGAACTAAATATCTATTACTTTTTTATTTACAGAGTACCAGATGTGGGAAGATATTCGAATGGAAATCCAGCGCAATGAATGTTGCTTCGTTTTTTAAACTTTCCTGGTAGGTTATATCAATGCTCCTTGTTGGAAACTATTGAGTAGCCTATTTGAATAAGTGATGTGTTAGCCTACTTGGATAATATCAATGCTATTACAAGATATAAAAAATCACGTTTGACTAAATGTGTAATTTTCGTGAATGTGTTATTGTAATATGAGTGTGCTGTTTGTTGAAATGTTATTACTATATTAAAAATGATGACCAACTATTGTGAATGGTATTCCTCCGGATATACAAAGCTTGCGCTTAAAACTCTACTTCTGTCTATTTATTTTATTATATTTGCTTGTGATTATGCATTCCGTTTGTAGTGGTCGTATACTAATACACTCAGCGAGGAAACTATCCAAGTTAAGTGCACTTATTTATCTAGTTAGATAAAGGATTTCGAATAGATTCGAATAGAGTCAATGGGAGTGGTCAAACAAAGGGTTTTGACAATCATTGCCACACAAAGAGAATGAGAATATCACAAAATAATATAGAAAAGAATAGTATTTTACCTCAAATGTCTGGCTACCTGCTATTACTAATCAATATCCACGTGGATGTGTTTTGCTCTGCCAAGCAACATTCATATTACAGAGTATTTTTCGATTGCTAAAACCCGTGTGTATGGAGGGCAGACAAAGAGGGAGACAAGTGACTGGCTGGGCTACTGGACGTTATACGAACTCAACGCTAATACCAAAGCAATAGCCTCTGGACTTCAGGAACTTGTTAGTAATTTAACTTGGAGGTGTGATATTGCAATAATATTTAGGCCAATGTAAATATTGTAATTAAAAATAGACTATATAGCTAGCTATAAATACCCCATCCAAATTAGCGTGGTCTATAGCAGAGCCATGTAGAGATAGGGCTCTGGTAGACTTTAAAGTGTATGTGGATTAAGGATGTTATTATCTCAAAATGTTTATTTGATTCTAAGCCTACAATAATATATTTTCACTAGTATTTCTGTAATATAATACAACAAATCTGTTGAATAGAATCCTCCATAGATGTCTTCCAGCAGCACAGTGACGGATGGTGCACTCTAGATCACCTAGCCGGGACGACCCAGCATCTCCACAGCACCACTCTGATTTAATCCCTCTTCCGTTTACCCTCTTCCTAGCCCCGCCACAAGGGCAGCCTCACTTCCTGATTAATATCCTCCATTCACACTTCATACACTCACTCCAATAAGTTATTTTAACATAAACATGAACATATCTTGTTCTCAATATTGTAGGCTGAAACGATTAAAGGACATTTGACGGGATCATTTAGAAAAATAGATCAACAAGAATAGCATGCGGGGCAGAGATAGGATTTCCGGCAGCATCAAATGTTCATGGAGAGTATGCATGTGATAATCAGGACAAACAAAATACTCCACTTGAATTTCAGCTAAATCGAGTGTTCTAGGCATGTTCACAGCCTGAGAGTGATGAGAGAGAATATAGCCTTTTCAGAAACATATAGATTGGGACTAATAAGAAGGCCATCTCATAAACGTTAACAATAAGACGTGTACAAAGTGTGCAAAGCTGTCATCAAGTATTCGCATTTATTTACCATATTAGGCCTACATTAAAATAGGCTACCCCTGGCCATTACATTTGGAACTGGTATGCCTAGTATACTATGCACAATTAAACAGGCAAGTTATAGTGCGTTTATTAGAGGGAGCTTATCAGAAGACACGCCTCGTGCCCTTACCCTTCCCAATTGTTCTTCCCAAATCAATCTTGTTTTAAGAACGATTTGTTATTTAGAGTTCATTGAGTTGCTGTCACAGAGCTAGTCAGATAGAGGCATTCAGTATGCACATAACAGGTTTGGCATTGGCGCCATTTAGGCTACACTAAATATGACTTGGTTGGAGTGTGCAGTGAATGCGAGAACATTCATTCCAACCTGGTATCCACATACTAATAAGTGAACTGAATAGGCCTATTTGAGGTTCATATGCATTTAATGCAGTTTTTCATTTCCCTCAGCCATGATCAATTTCGATGTATAGGCTACATATATACTCAGTACACTATTAGGATTAGGATAATTATGAGGATAACATTATTATTATTACCATCATCATATTGTATACCTGTAACATCAGGCACTAATTTGAGCTGGAGGTGAGAAATGAGAGTAAAGTAATTCAATTCCGTTTGTTTTCTTTGCTTCAAACCGTTGAACACACTCACTCGGCTGTATTGGAGATATAATAGAATCTGTGATATACTATCTCAGCAAGAACATAATTTAGCTCCTCCACGCGCCTACACCACAATTCTCCGTGAACTCTGGTTGAACCGCCCAAGTGGCAATAAATCATTTTTCTCTGTCTGCACAAAAGCGCCCAACAGTCCCTCTGTGTGTCAACCCCTTTTACAATTCCCCCTCACGGTCTGCACTCTCTTACATTTACATTTTAGTCATTTAGCAGACACTCTTATCCAGAGCGACTTACAGTTAGTGAGTGCATACATTATTTGATTGTGTGTTCGATTCCCACGCAGGGCCAGTATGAAAAATGTATGCACTAACAAACTGTAAGTCGCTCTGGATAAGAGCGTCTGCTGAATGACTGAAAATGTAAAAGAAATGGAACTGCTAATGTATTTTCGGCGGACAGAGCTCGATTCGGGCAGATAAGAGGAGACAGAGAGCTCGTGGAAGGGCGTTAATGGGCAGAGGATGTTGTCGGTTAAAACGGTGCATACAGATGGACCTGTCTCCGCAGAGCACCCGGGAGATTTATTGCCTCGGTGCCCTGTATTGCTGTAAACAATGCAGAGTGAAATGAAACGACCGGAGACTTTGCTGCACACTGCACACTTCATACATGAGGAAAAGTAAGACACACATTGTCAATTTCCTTTCTTCCCAAAACACGTGTTAATGTCTTGACCTATATGAATAGGCCATTTCCATGCAATACACTTAGAAAAAACGGTTCCTTATAGAACCAAAAAGGGTTCTATCGCTTGGTTCATATATGGAACCCCTAAAAGTTCTATGTAGGATCATTTTATAGGGTTCTTTGATCAGAACCCTAGAGGTTCTTCATCACTGAAACAAAACGGTTCCATATAGAACCCTGCATGGTGCCATTTATGAATTATGGCTACTACCATTAAATAGTAATATTTTGAGCTAAGAATATAATTTAATAAACAATTAAATAAAGCACGAAAGTATACCATCATAGTTTTTAGAATGTATTGTCATTATATGCAAACATAGTTTGGAAATAGGTACTGATGGCCAGGCAGGCATCTTTTTTGTTTGAACGAACTGTGGCTGACTTCTTTACAATACAATATCCATTAGTTAGAGTGAACAACCGAAATGTGTCTTCTGCTCCGTTCTCAACCCCGCAAACAGCAGACCTCACATACAGTTGAGATGAGCACAGGTTCAAGCAGCTCCCCTGGATGGTTATCGTGTTGTTTTGAGAATGTAAACCCAGCATCCCTCCAGTTGTCAGATCAATTCTGCCCGTTTTTAATCAGCGCCCAGCCCGGGATTTGAACCAGCCACCTTTCAGCCAAAGGACCAACTCCTGCCATAGGTCCAACTCTTTGTCGCTGGGCTACCTGCTTGACTCATTTACCGAGAAGAAGAAAACAGGTGCTAAAACACGAGTTAATCTTCAGAACTAAACATGAGTTAATCTTCAGAACTAAACATGGGTTAATCTTCAGAACTAAACATGAGTTAATCTTCAGAACTAGACATGAGTTAATCTTCAGAACTAGACATGAGTTAATCTTCAGAACTAAACATGAGTTATTCTTCAGAACTAAACATGAGTTAATCTTCAGAACTAAACATTAGTTAATCTTCAGAACTAGACATGAGTTAATCTTCAGAACTAAACATGAGTTAATCTTCAGAACTAAACATGAGTTAATCTTCAGAACTAAACATGAGTTAATCTGCCAAAATGAAGTCAAAATGCTATGCAGACATAATTATTATGATGTAGAAGGACAATTTACATGCAGTTGTTGTAAGCAGCAGCTGAAATAGGGATCCTCTGCCTCTGATAGTTCTGGGTTACTGCCAGACTGAGCAAAACATACATAGTGTGTTAAAAGTAATGTAATGAATAACTAGGCTATTGCATCAGCAGGACTTATTATACATAATTTATTATAAATAATTTATACATGCCACCTCTCAGTCAGCAACAGTCTTCTTTCTAATGGTTTCATGAAACACAGGCTAGCCCCCTCAATTGACCCCACACTGAAATACTGAAATAAAATAAACAATTAGCTAATTGCTAATGTCAGGCTGCTCTATTTGGCATAAAAAAATTAATTCATTTGAAAGAGTTAGCTGGCTAGCTTGTAAAGTGATGAATTAAAGTAGCCTAGCTTTTTCTGTTTAGTTAGCTAGCTAGCTTATA